AGTGAAGAGCTTCAGTAACTGGAGTTGAGTGTGTGTTTAGGTCATAAAGGTATTTTTTTATTCATTTGTGTAAATCTCATGAGAGAAAAGGAAAAGTGAGATGCAGGTCATGTCTGAATAAAGTTCTCTGAACGCTGAAGCACATCTGAGAGGAGTTGGAGATCTCTGAGGATCAGAGGCTGCAGCAAACAGACTGTGATCACATGCCCTTCTGCACATAATGATCATCATTAACCCAATGGATCTTTTTTAAAAAAAAAAAAAAAAAAGATTAATAGAATAACGTTATTTTATCGTAATATTTGAAATTTGCTGTCAACCAATCAGGAATTCAGATAAGCAGATGTGACGCTGACACGTCCAACGCGTGAAATGCCCGCTCAGCTGCAAATACAGCATAGGTAAGTCTCAATGGCAATGCATTAGAGTTTATCCGAGGATAGTGTAAGATGGATTCAACAGATCACGCGCACCTGCAGCCCCAGATAGCAGCAGAGTGTGGGCCGAGTCTGGCTTACATTCGGCAGCTGTTCTGTTCACAGTCTGGTGTGAAACAGCATTTGGCTGAGCTCTGGCTGGAGTCTGGCCAACCAAAAGAAACTAAAAGCAAGTTGTATCTATTTGGCTGAGCCGTGGCTGGAGTTTGGTCCGCCTGAAAAAAGAAAATATTCGGCTGAGATCCGGGTGGGTTTTGGTTAGCCGAAGAGTAAATAAGAGATCTCTGGCATGAATGTGCTTTACAGTAAGTGTAAAACTTTACAGACTTGTGTAAGAGGTGTCTTCCTAATTTTATAAATCCTTTACAATATTTATTCAAATAGCAGACACTTTTGGAGATTATAATTAATTAAAGAAACGAGTATGTACTGAAATCGACTGAGAAATAAAACATGATTTTACTAAACTAAACAGAACTAAAAACCTTAACTACAGATTGAATACTGCTCGGTCTAATGTGGCGGACGGGCCAATGCGATGACGTAGTTTGCAATGCATCTTGGAAATAGTAGTTGATTTACATCTACGGCGTTAAATCTGCTTTACAAAAAGGACTACTTTTCCCAGAGCACACCGCGAGACGAGTAGCGCACACCCCGCCTACCAGAGGATCGGAAGTTGTGTAGCAGTCAGCCAGCCACTCACATTACCAACACAGTCTGGCGGTGAAACTCAAACTTTTGTGATCCCGCTATACCTTGGTTTTGTCTTTTGGAGCTTTAATACATCAAGGTAAGTTCATTCTTCTTTTAAAATCTCAACTAACATGTAGGTTTCATCTAGGGATGCACCGAATAAAGACGCAAAAAATCATTACAACCGACGGTTAGAGACTGTTTAGTTCTGCATCGCATGTCTTCGATGAGAAGAGGAAGGGTGATTGTTACTGCTAC